TGAAAAGAGCTGTTTTTGACAGGGTAAAAAATGTGTTTTTTACACTACCATTGAGAAATTTTAACCAAACTGTTACAGACTTTTCATTAAGACCCTAAAGAATCATATCAACTTGTGGAAAATGTGCATCCTATGACCCCTTTGAAGATTCGCTTTTAGTAGATGCTGCTGCTGAATACTGCTGAGAGACGCACAGACGCAGGTATTTACACGCGCTTAATCTTTCTCTATCTCTCTCTCTTTTGGGGATGAGGTGCGTAAAAAATTAGCTAGTTCAACACACGAGATTTCAGGACAGAAACATGTTAAATATCTTTAAACAAATCATCTGAACAATTGATGTGTGATTGTAACTCTAGGCCATTAAAATTAATAGAGAAATAATGCACTCCCGAAGTGGTTATGTGGCCACGTCGCCGCGCCTATTAATGGAATGGTCTTTCTCAGTTCTCAAACAAATGAAGAACTACATTCGATTTTTATTGACTGAACGCAAGCGCTTATTGCGATAGGAAATATTGTGACGGTTTCACTGATTAAGAAATATTTTTGTTTGCTTGGGTGGTAGTAGCCTATTAGGCCTATTATATTAATAGGGAAGGGGGGCCCAAAAATTTGTTTTGCCTATGTCATGAAAAGAGGTAAATCCGGCCCTGCTTATATCACTAAAAAGCTGACAACTCGGTTCATCGCGATCTCATAAAGCTCTGTTATAACACAATGAATATAAGCACAATGAATCTTTCACAATGTCTACAATTTGTGTGTTAATAAGATGATTCGTGAGCATGCAATATTCAGCACTGCTTTTGAGCGGTGAGTGGATTCTACCTTAAATACCTCTGATTGGCCATTGCGCTGCAGAAATCAACTGATATGTCTGTGATTGGCTACATTGCTCGCGCTGCAAACATGTGTTTTAAATCGAAAATGCCTATTCTTGCGCCTGTTAATCATTTTTATGTTATATTAGTTGTTCTTGTTGCTTTTGTGCAATAGATGAATAACAGTTTATATGTTTTTTTTAGATATTTTATGTTTAGATACTTCTATTTTGCGGTAGTCCCGCGAATCATTTTATTCTCCCACATCCCGCACACACACCAGTCTCTACCCACCCGCACCCGCCCATCAAGAGTTGTCCTGCGCTGCACCCCGTTGCGTTGGGTCCCATGGTACTCCCGCGGGAATGCAGGTCTCTACTCCCAACTTCTAAAAATTAACTACAATTACTAAAACCACAACTACAATTTATATATTTAGGAACTGCTTATCCCGTTTTGCTGTGAGACAGGGGGCATTGTCCTGCATGAAATTTGTTGGCTGATTGGGAGATGCTTGCAGGGAAGGAACCGCATGTTGCCGCAGGAGGTTCTGATAAACATTTGCATTTACTCTGCCATGTACATGTAGCTGTATAAGAGGCCCAACTCCTGCTGCACAAAACATCCCCCAAACCATGACACTTCCTCCTCCATATTTCACTAACTTCTTTACACACTTTGGGTTCAGTCTTTCCTTATTTTGACGTGGAACATAATGTTTCCCATCAGACCCAATTAAATTAAACTTGTTTTCATCACTAAAGTGAACGTTGAACCAGTTCTCTCTCCACACAACATTGTCCTCAGCAAAGGTGAGCTTAGCCTTTTGATTCTTTCTGCTGATGAGAGGCTTTGTCATTGCAGAGTGCACTTTCAGTCCGACTTCTCTTAAACATGCCGAGACAGACCCTTACCTTGTTCAGCACTGAACTGGCAAGCAATTCCAGCTGCAGTGTTGAACCGATTCCCCATTGAGAGTCTCTGCATTATCATGTCCTCTCGTGCATTTGTCTTTTGTGTACGACCAGCCTTTTTGGGGGACTTGAATGAGTTCCATACAATACAATAACTTTTTAGTTTCAACAATAACTGTTCTTTTTCAAAAATCTCATTTAAATTGTTTATAGCGTGCCTAAGAATACAATTCATTTATCAAATATCCTTTTGAAAACTGCCCTTCTACTCCTGTTAGGATAAGTTCAAATGGGACTAAGCAGTGACCTTGAAATTTAGAAAATTGTAAGTTATTCTCTAATATTGATCTCCACTGTGTATATATAATTAAAATTAAAGATTAAAAGCTTCACCAGTCGAACCTGATCGTGAATACTTTGCCGCACACTGCATTTCTTGTGCTTGACACTCTCCTGTGTTTAATCAGGCTCTCGCACTTAAAATGTGTGGATTAAGTAATGAACGCAATGTTACCTGCAACCTCTGTCCCACAGGCTTTACAGTGAAAGCAGTGCATTGAGCCTTTTTCATAGCAAAGCCACTCTTTCAGCTACTTTCTTCAAAAACTCTAAGCCTTTTCCACTGATGGATTTACATTCACCACATGATATCCATCACCAACTCCAGGTGTTGCATTACCTGTAATTTTAGGCGGCTTACAAAAGAAATGTGTTCTTTTCATCTTCTCTCTTCAGCACTTTATATTTTGCGTGCTAGTTAGCTCCCTGTCACGTAACAGTGGAGCACAGTGAAAGGGATTGATTGACGGCTAATATTAATCAATCTGGAAAGTCTGCATTAAAGCTAAGAATGTACAGATGACGTTTAATTGGTTATGTAATGTTGGATACAATGGTGGACCGGTCACTGTATCAGCTCACAGCAGGCATATACTGTGCAGTAATTAGTGAATGTTTATTTGCATTTTTAGTAGGGGTGGGGGAATACTGTATCGATACACGGGACGCCAAGTATCGATCTTTTATTATACTATTTGGTAGAATAATAAAATCAATTTCTTTACAATCCACTAGATGGTGATGTTGAGTTTTTTTTCTGGTGAGGTCAGCTGGGTCACTTTCAGCATGCAGCAAGTTAGTAAAATAAAGAGGGTGGCATCGAGGAAAGTTATCAGGAAAGCCCCGTCCGCGTTTAAATCAGATAGATGTATGGACTTGCTTCGGATTTGTAAACCAGAAGGGGATAATAATAATAATAAACAATTTCAAGTTGCACTGTTCAAAATACCTGTGGTAGCACAGCAGTGCATACCTGTTTACATTTAATTAAGGTGGACTAGATTAGACTGTAATACAAATAGTTGAGTTTGCCAGGTGCATACAACATTTATGACAGGTTTTCATGAAAGTGTTGGTCAGTTTGTCTGCTTGACAATCCCATTTTGCACTGCAACAATAAAACTGAAGTGAGATAAACAAACTGAATAATGTTTCTTTTTAGTTAAAACAGATGTCAAAGTTTTCCTTTGGGGACATAATTTGAAGTTGGAAAAAGGTAATAAATTGCAATATATCGCAGAATATCGCAATATATTTAAAATCGCAATAATATTGTATCGTGACACAAGTATTAAGAAATTGTGTCGTGCTGAAACCTGTGTCACCCATATGCACACCACAGTTCAATGTGACTAAAACATGTGCGCTAACCCCTGCTTCACGGCCCAAGAAGCTTCTAAGATTTTTTTTATTGAGTAAAAGAATGATATCATTCTTTGATCGGAGTCTTTTTTCTAACAGGATGATTGGTTTGGAGACCGCTGTGTATTTTAATTAAATCTTCAAGTGTATTCAAGAGCCGTAGCTGCTATTGAGCTTAGCTTGCACCTGTGGTTAGTGAGGGTGCGAAAACACTCTGTCACATCTGTTTGCTCCCCAAAACACACTCATTGAAACCATTTAGTCGAACAAGGCAGATTTGTTATCCCAAAAACACTTCCTTTTCTCTTTGCCGTACATGCATAAAATGTTTTACTATCCTCATTAGGAGTCTTCTCCTTCTACCTGCCATCTGGGGGGAAATAAAAATCTAATGACGCTTTTGATTTAATTTTGTTATTTATGGAATAACTCTTCTGAAAACTCCTTGAGGATCCGTAAATTGGAAACTCCCACTGTTAGTTGTTGATGTATCAAGGCCCTGTAATGCAAATCTGATCTACTAAGACATTTCCCTGTATACATTTTCAGTTTATGAGCAGCAATCTAACAGGTATCATTTGTTTGGGGTGCTTGTTATGGAGCTTCTATATTATAATTGTTTGTAATCCAATCCAATAGAAGAAAAGTACTTTGGAAAAACAGCATGAACGTGTTCCTTAGCAAAAAAACACATGGATGGAGTGGTTTGATGCTGCAAGAAGAATAGAAAGCGTAAATAATTTGAATAAATTAAAATTTAGCAAATAGATTAAATTAAATTCATACGATCTGGACGTTTTATTTTATTATTATTATTTTTAATTTATGTATTATTATTTTCTTTTACTTTCAGATCTGCAACGTTTTGGTTACCAGCCCTTGTCTTGAAGTACTTGGACAAGACAAAACAACAAAACAAAACAAAACACACTGAGACAAAACAATAAACACTGAAACAAAACAATAAACACTGCTATAAAATAAACAAAATAATCACTACAATAAAATAAAATAAACAAATGATCCTTCAGAAATCATTTTAATATGATGATTTGGTGCTCAAAAAACATTTTTTTTTTAATCAATGTTGAAAAAAGTTGTGCTGCTATTTCTGCAGAAACCATCATACATTTTGTTATTCAAGATTCTTTGAAATTAACATTTAATAAAAATAGAAATCTTTTCTAACATTATAAATGTCTTAACTGTCATGTTTGATAATTTTAAATAGTCCTTGCTACGTTTAAGTATTACTGTATCTTATTTACCCCATACTTTTGAGGAGTATTGTATATAGTGCTTCATACTAAGGCAAAGATCCCTATAATGATGACTTTGTTTCTCACTCGTTTGCATTTGTCATCTTTTTTTAAAGGATTTGTGAGGTTCTGTCTGGACCATTTGCCTCTGAACTGTCAATGCGCCTGCTACAGTGCCTACGCTTGTCCGATGCTCCATGCTTCTATGGCCTGCCATCTCTAGAGCGCACTCTCAGGACCATGGCCCATGTGACCGCCCTGCCTGGCTGGAGCACACACACACCCAACATGGAGCCAAACACACTCTGCCTCAAGTACCTCAGTGGCCTCTTGGAAGTATGCATACACACATGTGCTCGATTGCCTTGGTTCCACACTAGAATATATTTTGTACAGATTATATACACTTATCCAGACAGAACACATTAAACGCACACTCACACTCAGGGTCCAAGATATTCCCAAACACTTGAGCATGAATCACTTCATACCGACCAACCTGTGTCTCAGCTGCATCTCACTTCGCATTATGAAATGACTCTTTCTCCAGACTGCTAATTATGATCATGTTCCTATTTGACTGCTCTTCCCAGGTCATCTCTTCATTCTACGTAGATTTGGGAGGAAACTCGATGTCCTTCATGGGCAAAGGAGTGACAAAAAACGCAGTTATCTGCCTGCTTCATCTGTCACATGAGATGATGAAGGAAAGTAAAAATGAGGTCAGAAATGCCATTGCAATTGACACTGATATCACAAGGCTTTAAATCTGACACTAGGGGGTCCTAAAACTTATTTTAATCAATTTAGTGAACATGATGTTGGCCGATTATATCGGTTCGTCACTAGATATTCTGTATAATATTAAGTGGAATAGTTATCAGTACAGCAGTACTCCATATTTAGAGTGTTTGTGTGTTGTTTAAGGACTGGATATCCTTGTGGTCTCTGGGCCGTGAGCAAAGGTCTGATGGGCAGAGTGCTGCCCAGCTTGGCTTGGCCTGGCTAATTCCTCTGTGGGTGGACCGAGACCCTGAGGTGAGACCTTCATAAAATGCACATTATGGCTATACAATAGGTAATTAACAAAGTGCTGTTTTGAATACTTTTTGGAAGCTTACATGTCCTTTGGTGTGACATGCTAAAGATAATTTAGAACTGTTTTAAATAGCATTTGCTAATTATTTTATAATTATTATGAATGCAGTTTGTGGTATACATGATAATTTGAGTTTTTTTTTATTATTCATTTTGTTTTACACCATATGACCAATTAAAATTAAATATTGATGGTGATAAAAAAACTAAAAATTCGTAAAAAAAACTAAAAAAAACTAATGGTGAACAGTTGACAGTGTTTTGGTATAATAAATAGTTTTATATAAATTTTATATAAATATTTTGAATTAGCCTTTAGTTTTGTATTTTCACTTTTAATTTTAGTTTAGGCTTTAATAATTTATAATAAAGTTTTTATTTTTGAATATTATAATAATAATAAAATTTTATTTATTAAAATAAAGATTAATTAATTAAAATGTTATTTTTATTTGTATTTAAGTTTAAATAATGTAGTACTTAAACTTGTTTTCAGTTAGTTGCCAAGGCAAAATTTTGTTATTTGTCAAAGTTTCATCTAATATTTATGTAATTTTCAACTTTATTTCAATTATTGAAAAAAAAATTTTTTCGTTTTAGATTCAGTTAACAACACTGTCAGTTAAAGAACTTGACATATTTTTCCATACATTTATATAAATTTTAACCTACAACGTTGATTTGGACAAAAGTCCATGGACTTCTTATGTGCTGCGTTGAATCATTTACCCACAATTTAAAAACAATATATTGATTATAAATTTTGACAAAAATGTTTCTTAAATGAAGTTCTGTCAAAAAAGTCATTTAAAAATAACATCCCGATGTGGTCTTAAATGGATCAAAAGTACAAGATCTAAAATAATTGAAAATGTTTTAGATTTTCAAAGCTCCACCGAATACTGATTCACCATGTTTTCTTAAATTAACATTCTCTGTACATTGGCACTGAATGCAATCATAGATGATGTAAATTTATTAAATGTACGTGTCCATAATTTTTATGAAAACCTTATTTAGCAATTTGTGTGCCTTGGCCTTCTATTTTGGATAGTTTTCCCAAGTACTCGTGCGTGTCCAGGCCTCCCTCAGCTCAGCAGATGCTGAGCACTGAAAATAATGGGCATGACAAACACAAATTTGTGCCAGTGCTACATGCCAAAGAGCCCATGGCAGTTAGCACTGCCAAGCACATGTGCTGGGTCTGAACACAAGTGTGTGTGTGTGTGTGTGTGTTTGTCTGGCTCTAGGTCCGCTGTGCCAGCCTGGCTGTGGGTGATATGACCAATTAAAATTAAATATTGATGGTGATAAAAAAACTAAAAATTCGTAAAAAAAACTAAAAAAAACTAATGGTGAACAGTTGACAGTGTTTTGGTATAATAAATAGTTTTATATAAATTTTATATAAATATTTTGAATTAGCCTTTAGTTTTGTATTTTCACTTTTAATTTTAGTTTAGGCTTTAATAATTTATAATAAAGTTTTTATTTTTGAATATTATAATAATAATAAAATTTTATTTATTAAAATAAAGATTAATTAATTAAAATGTTATTTTTATTTGTATTTAAGTTTAAATAATGTAGTACTTAAACTTGTTTTCAGTTAGTTGCCAAGGCAAAATTTTGTTATTTGTCAAAGTTTCATCTAATATTTATGTAATTTTCAACTTTATTTCAATTATTGAAAAAAAAATTTTTTCGTTTTAGATTCAGTTAACAACACTGTCAGTTAAAGAACTTGACATATTTTTCCATACATTTATATAAATTTTAACCTACAACGTTGATTTGGACAAAAGTCCATGGACTTCTTATGTGCTGCGTTGAATCATTTACCCACAATTTAAAAACAATATATTGATTATAAATTTTGACAAAAATGTTTCTTAAATGAAGTTCTGTCAAAAAAGTCATTTAAAAATAACATCCCGATGTGGTCTTAAATGGATCAAAAGTACAAGATCTAAAATAATTGAAAATGTTTTAGATTTTCAAAGCTCCACCGAATACTGATTCACCATGTTTTCTTAAATTAACATTCTCTGTACATTGGCACTGAATGCAATCATAGATGATGTAAATTTATTAAATGTACGTGTCCATAATTTTTATGAAAACCTTATTTAGCAATTTGTGTGCCTTGGCCTTCTATTTTGGATAGTTTTCCCAAGTACTCGTGCGTGTCCAGGCCTCCCTCAGCTCAGCAGATGCTGAGCACTGAAAATAATGGGCATGACAAACACAAATTTGTGCCAGTGCTACATGCCAAAGAGCCCATGGCAGTTAGCACTGCCAAGCACATGTGCTGGGTCTGAACACAAGTGTGTGTGTGTGTGTGTGTGTATTTGTCTGGCTCTAGGTCCGCTGTGCCAGCCTGGCTGTGGGTGCGGCTCTGAGTTCGCTGGAGAGAGGGTGTGTGGCGTTGTCAGAGAGTTGCCAGAACATTTCAGGAGGTCTGTGGGCCACGGTACTCAACATCCTGCTGGAAAGACAGGAGTGCAGTATGGTGCACCGAGAGGTGAGTCCATCCAGCTTCAACTTGAAAACAACACAAAAAACTCCCAGACTGCTTCATACTGAGAGTCTATGAACTGCCCTCAGTCCGTTCATGGACCATCTGATGCATGTTGGACTCAAAAAAATGGAAAGTCATAATCACGATTATTTTGGTCAATATTGTAATCACAATTATTTAACATGATTATGAGGAGGCCATATGACCAAAACTTTATATGAGTGATTTATTTAAAGATAGCGATACATATCAAATATATATTTCCTGTAAATAAGGTTGCTATGACATCTACCAGCAAAATTTCACAATTCTCAATACCACAGCAGAGTATTAGGTAACTAGCCTATTAGTAACAAACAATCAAAAAGTCCTCAAATTATTGAAAATAATTAAACTGTCAGTAATAAAAAAGCAAAGGACAAATACAATAGAATAAAAAGATACAAATGAAACAAACTGCTTTAATGTTTTTTTAATAAACATTATGCAAGTCTCAAGCCGTTAACAGCCTACTACAGAAATGAATAATCAAATGTAAAATAAAACAGCATACTATTCACTGTAAGAATTAAACTTTCTTTGTTTCTTATTAAAGCTACAAAAGTCCTTCACTCAAGAGCAGTGTGTGATTTTGAATTGGTCTTTTGTCGTTTGATTAATATTAACCCTGTAAGGCCCACTGTTCTAATATTACAACATCAGTTTTTAGCTCCACTAAATTAAACCTGTACTTGTTTTTTTAGCCTTTTTACACAACTAGTAGGTCCTATTGTTCAGTCCTGCAATGTTGTTGGGTGATATATCTTGTAAATACGTCTGTTTACCTGGCCATAAACTTACACAACCTGCACACTTGCTTCAAGGAACTTCACCTTTTTTATTGGACTGGATAAATCAACATGCAAGTAAGTATAATGCCTAAAATATATTTTTCTGTGATTAGTAATATGTGTAGATCATGCAGATATTAAGGTACTGTTAAATACTTTGATTACATTAGATTTTGAGCTTTTTATGTCAATGGTGTAATTTTACAACATTGGGCTAGAGTGGAAGCAAAATTTGCCTGTGCACCTTACATGTTACATGAATGAATTGTACTTCTAATTTGTTAGCAACATACTTTTTGACCATTTTTGTCAGTGACAAAATATAATATTGATTTTTATTGTCTTATTTGTTACCATTGTGAGTTTTATTCCAAAATAAAGGATTATTACAGTAAATGATAAGTTCAAGTTGAATTAAAAAATACATTATTTCTTTGAGAATTTTAAATTATTTGTCATGCAATATTTAAAACTACATTTTTAAAAATACTTAACTGGTTTGGTTTTCTTTTCTGGGCTTAGTAAAATAATTTTTTTTTTTTTTTTTCAATTTCAGAAAGCTACTAGACAGGTAAGGTCATAATTTTATAATGTATCGTATATGATGTCATTGATGCCATCCAAAATGGGAACAAAGACTTTGAGATGGACTCTGATACAAATGATAAAAAGTAATATAAAGATGCCTGTGAACTGGACAAGAAAAAAAAGACCACCCATTTTTGTTGGCCCATCTGATGATTATGTGAACATCATTCCAACAAAACCAGTTTTATTGTCTTATTTGTTACCATTGTGAGTTTTATTCCAAAATAAAGGATTATTACAGTAAATGATAAGTTCAAGTTGAATTAAAAAATAAATGATTTCTTTGAGAATTTTAAATTATTTGTCATGCAATATTTAAAACTAAATTTTAAAATATACTTAACTGGTTCTGTTTTCTTTTCTGGGCTTAACTTGTTTGCTCAAATGTGTTCTTGATGCATGAGGGCCAGGTGATAATGTTCTGGAATGTGGGGGTTATACGTGCTATTATCATTATAAGAAGAGCACAATAAGCTATCAGACTGTATTGTTAGAAATCTGTGGAATGTCTGAATTCTGTAAAATGTGTGATTTCTGCAAAATTGGTGAATTCTTTCAAATGTTTAAATATGATTGGGTTTGACTTGCATCAAGATTATTATGCCTTGAAAATAATCAGTGTTTTTTTTTTCCATTTCAGAAAGCTTCTAGACAGGTAAGGTCATAATTTTATAATGTATATGATGTCATTGATGCCATCCAAAATGGGAACAAAGACTTTGAGATGGACTCTGATACAAATGATAAAAAGTAATATAAAGATGCCTGTGAACTGGACAAGAAAAAAAAGACCACCCATTTTTGTTGGCCCATCTGATGATTATGTGAACATCATTCCAACAAAACCAGGCCATTCAAGAACACAGACCATGCGCTGTAACAGGTAAAGCTGTCTGAAAAAGGATTTTATTTGTCTCAACATTAATTTCTCTGACTAGGATATCACTAATGATGCAGTCTCCCATCATACACCACTGGAGTACTTCTGAAGGTTTGTGTCAGAAGATATGATCAGAAGGCTCTGACATCTAACACCAATGAGTACAGTTTTCAAAAGAAAGGAGCATTTATAAAATCATTATGAGACTCTGGGAATTGAACATGGCTATGAACAGAGCTAGACATTGTAAATACCAGTAAATAGTTTTGATTGAACATATTTTTATAATAAATATAATATTCATAAAAAACACGACTTGTGTGATTATTTGTGTATGGATATATAGGCTGCTGTTATGGGGCTACATAAGCAGTATACCCTGCAAATGAACCCTTAGATCATCTTTAGATTTGTTCAGACAGTTAGTAAAATCACTGAAATTCTGCTACCCCAAAGGCCCAACGTTGTAATATTACAACATTTCACTAAAAACGTACTAAAATATCAAAAATGTTAAAACTCTTATTTAGACTTATTTCTGCATTAGAGGCCTGCCACAACAACATATACATGGTGAAATAAGATTTTCAGTTTTTTTTCACAGTCTATAATAGAACTTCAACTGACAAGAAGTGAAAGCCAATAAGAACGTTCCATTGCAAGCCCTACGCTTCCACCATTTTGGGGTGAAAGAGATTCGGCACTCCACTAGATTCTAGCTGTTGCTATGGCAAATATCAGCTGCTTTGTTTAAAAAAACGTACATTAAAGCTGAAATACAGACTGAATGATGACAACAATGGCGTACATTCACTAATCATCAAATCCTTTTAACAGTTTATTTTAGAGACTTTATTTTAAAGTCTTCCCTTTTTTCACAAAACCTTTTGCTCTCTAGAAACCATGCCAGTTTCGGTTTCTGGGGTAGACACGGCATAAGAGACTTCTTTCAAAAAAAAAAAAAAAATCTGAAATCTTAATTATTCCAAACTTTTTACCGACAAGTGTACAAAGAAATAAAAAGTGCTTAGTAGCTTCACAAAGCAGTCAGTCGGCCACTTCCTGTCTAAGTGGGCGTTCTAGGTTAGAATAAGCTGCAATTATGATTAGATTTTAATGTCGCAAGTCAGAAGGGCTCTGCAAGTCATATTCGTTCAGATCTGTGATCTATTTCTGAATGTTTCATTATTAGTATAGGTTTAGTACAAAGACATATTCAGAAACAGGAAGAGAAAAAGAGGTTAAACAAGCATAGACAGTCACACTCACTTTCAAGGGAATGTATTTGCATTACTTTTTTTTTTTTTGTAGGAATTTGTCACTTGCTTTGTTCGTGATTCCTTTGAGAATTCAACCAGCATGCATTTCCATTCATTTACAAGAAGATGGCAGTGTTGCTGATTTTTATGTTCCCGTTCCCTATAGGCAGCGTTTATTTTGCAAAACCTCCTTGTGATGCCAATGCCTGCTAATGCAGAAGAGGCCAAAGAGTGTGCCTGGCAGGTATGTTTACATGAGAATAAACTTTCAGAACTGAATATCAATAACACAGCCGCTCTTAAAAGCTCTGTAGACATAACAGATCTGTCTGTGGTGATTTCTGGTTTCCTCAGTATTATATTTGCTTTTTTCTTTTTTTTTATCTTCTATTCTTCTCTTTCTTGTGTCTCCCAGAGCCCCTGTGTGCATGATGAGGATTCAGGCCTGTGTCTGGTCGGGCTTCCTGCCCTGCAGGCTCTGTTGTACCACTGCCAGTTTTTTGAGAGCGTGGGCCGGATGGTGAAGAGCTGTTACATGGGCAGACATGCCTTCACCCTCAGCCCCCCTCCACCGCCAGCCAATGTCACCCAGGGTACGGCATCCACGCGCCCAGAGCACTGCCAGCTATTAGTGGATGTCTGACTCGGTGGCATCCATATGCTTACACGCATTATTAATACTGTTCTGTACTAGAGATCATGGCCGCTGTGCTGCATATTTTAGATGATGGTGTTTACATTTATCATTCGCTTGTTATAACAGAATTTAAAGTATTAGTAAGCTGTTAGAGGTAATTATTCCAGTGCATATAATTTAGTAGTACATTTTGCTGTTTTGTTTGTAAATGAAGCAGTGTGTGTTTCTTTCTGTAGAGACTGATCTGAATGATTCTCTGAAGCACTGGAGAGAGATGCTTGCTCCTCTAAACCAAACTCAGGGCTCAGGATCCATGTCCACCTCCAGTACTCTGGTCAGTAGACATAAATGTGTAGTCGACCAAGGTTTTTCTTCTAGCAGGGTTTCTGCAGGTCTTAAAGCCTTGATTCACCTTCCATAAATTAAGACCTTAAAACACCTTAAATCAGAGCAGAAAGCCTTGTATACATCAAGTCATGGCATTAAATTTTGCATGCACTGTTTTTGTCTTGTGTTCTAATACAAATATCTAAACATTCTTAAAGCAAGATTCATGTACTTGAGATGCAAAATGAAGATATAAGTCTTGTTTACTGAAAAATTAAGTTGTATGCTTAAAACTCATCTGTCAATGGGCTATGAAGACTTGTTTTCCGTTTGAATGAAGTTAAATTCATTTTAAATTTCATTTTAAACTTTAAATCAGTTTCACGGAAAACAGGACTTCTGTCTAATGTCATTTTGCTTTAAAATTAAATAAAAAATTTAAATATTGCACAAGACAAAAATACTGAGGATGAACAGCACTTTTTGCAGTGTGATCAGGAGGTACAGTAAAAGTTATTTCCATGTTCTAGTTAAGCTACTTTTTTTTTAATGAATTTAAAAGTAAAGGAGATTGATTTGGAAGTATGCCAATGCAGCTAATTGTGTTCTCTCTAGACATATACACTTAGAGTATACTGATGTATTGTGTTCCCTTTAATTTATTCCTTAAATTCAATTTAGTTGGTCTTAAAAAGTCTTAAATTTACCTTCACCTTCATAAAACCTGCAGAAATGCTGTTTAGTGAAAAGTAAGTCCAGTAAGATTTTCTTTTTTAAAGACATTAATAATTATATTGAGCAAGGATGCATTGAATCGATTAAAAGAGACATAGTTTTTTTCCCCAAATAAATACTGTACTTTTGTCATTTCTATTAATCAAAGAATCCTGAAAAAAGTTTTCACAAAAATATTAAGCAGCACAACTATTTTCACTGATAACAACACTGAAAATAATTATAATATAATAAAATACAATTAATAGTAAAATAAAACTGATATAATAAAAAAGTAATAAAAAGTAATCTTAAGTACCAAACCAATATATTAGAATGATATAATATACTGTATTTTTGACCAAATAAATGCAGCCTTTGTGAGTACAAAAGAGTTCTTTTAACAACATTAAAAAGCTTTTGAATGGTAATTTATATTTTAATGTATTGTGCTATATTATAATGTAATGTAAAATAAAATATCATTGTTAGTTATAATACAATATAATATAATAATATAATATAATACAATATAATAGTGAATGAGACAAACCAAACTGTTAAAGCAGACAATATTTAGAATTTACAGTTGACAGTGATAATTTCAAAATGACCAAATGCATGATTGAGTGATTAATCAGCCTGGTTTGTATATGTTGGTCTTTCACTACACTTACACTATTATAATTGATAATGTTAAGTAAAACTGCTACCAAATTGCCTTTATTTACCAAAGCAGTAAATTTATAAGATAATTAGTGATGCAATTCCTTGGTAACCCCTCAATAATCAATAACTTTACATGAAAAATAAGTTAGAAAGAAATTGCTGGTTTTTCTAACATTTTCTATGCTGTTTTGGGTGGAAAATCAATGGAATGGTATAATGATATTATAACGTATAAGAGAGCTACACGCTTATAGGTAGCTGCAAGCAACATCAGATTAGCAAAAATTAGCCTGAATTATTTTCAAATTGTTATTATGTCTGTCTGTGTGTTCTTTAGATTCCATCAGGTAGCTCTAGTGGGACTCATTCTCCAGTTCTGACCTCAGCTGTTGCTGGAATCCAGGACACTCCAGTCAACAGACTCACTGCTCAAGGTATGACTTGAGGGGAAAAAGGCAAGGAATTGACAGTTTAGCCTCGACAAGAATGTTTTTTTTCCCCCAGTCTTTAGTAATTTGAGGCTGCTGTTATTTCTTTATGCTATAGGCCAGAGTGACACGGACAGCTCAGACTCTGCCCTCACTCATGAGTCCCACCCAGGGGGGATGACCGAGCCTGGTGCTATAGTAACCCCACACCTGTTGCTAGCAGTATGCGGTTTACTGGACAACCTGCTGGCTGTGCTTCCTGAGTTTAGTCTATCTGCCCTCAAACAGAACCAAATACTTGAGAACATGGCCAGGTTAGAGAGACATGTGAAGACAAACAGATGTTGTGCAAAGTTATTATATATAAGATAAAGCCATTATTTATATTTTTTTAAAGCGTCATACTGACATTTTATTAGTAAATTACTAAATATTTATTACGATTTTCTAAGCTGTTAATTACAGACATGAACTACACATGTGGATGTATGACATACTGCAACCCTATGCACGCCTCTCACCTCATTTTCACACTCGCACTGTACGCCTATATAAATATATTCTCTTGGTTTACCTGACAACACTTTAACACAACCACATCCTGCCTGCCATCTGCCCACTCTTTCTAAATACCAAATTGTGGTTGTTTTGTCTCTGCTGGTTAACAGCAAGACCCAAGAAACGTCAAAAATGAAACAAACCATGTTTAAAGTTGGATTCTATTTATGTGTTCGTTGTATTCATCTGTTTAGACTGTGAACTCACCTGCATGACTTCCTGTTGGTTTTGTGCTGTCTGTTTCAGTGTTGTTGATGCAGCGGCCATATCCCTGTGTGTCAATGAGTTAAGGACACCTCTCCTGCCAGCTGCTATGGAAGATGCCAGGAACCAGGTACATTATGGCTATCATTTTCCACCTGCACTTAAACACCAGTCTGTCATAAGGAAATGCCTGCAGAACGTTACAGAAATCGTGGCAGATTTCCGCAAATTTGGAACACCCATCATTCACAAATTTCTATACATCCTAAGGCTACGTTTACACTAGTGCGTTTTCTTTTTAAAACGCATAACTTTTGCTACGGTTACGGCTGTCGTTTACACTATTCTGGCATTTTCGACCTGTGAAAATGGAGACTTTTGAAAACGCTGCAGACCCCGTTTTAGTTTGAAAACTCCGGGGTTGCGTTTCAGTGTAAATGGACCAAAACGGAGACTTTTGAAAATTATGGCATGGCTGCCCACATTCGCTCTGCGTATCCTTGATGACCGTGTAAACAATGACATCATGCTCATAGTTATACCCATAGATATGTATAGGTAGATTCCCCATTCGACCGCTCCAAGCACGTAGAAGCGTCCGCCATCTAAATAATAGGGCATCTACTTATATATATCTATGGTTGTACCTGTATAAATGGTCATGTGACATGCGTTTTCGGGTGTGTAGTGTGGATGGAGATCATTTCTGAAACGCAGTGAAAACACCAGTGTAGACGAGGATCATTTTCATTTTGAGTTATTTTAAACGCTGTTTTAAAACAAAAATGCACTAGTGTAAACGGCCTTAATCACATGCATGATTGCTTATTAAATATTTTTGATAATTTTATGATCATTTTAGCTAAAAGTACAGTAGTGTTAGCAGTATTTAACACATTTTACCATGAATAAATCTATTCCCTTCAAAACCTGCACATCGATAATATGCAACATATTAAATTCAAGTAAATAAAATGCAAAATAAGTCAGAAGAGTTTGCAGTTTTCATCTTAGCGCATGCATACAGCCGAACATGTAGCCTTTCAAAGTAAACTCCATTTGATAGTGAGCTCGAACACAGACGGACAACACATGCACGCTAGAAAGTTTCGTCCTTGTCCAGTGTCTGCTCTATTTCTTGACCAAATATATGATCAATAAAAAAAGTCAACTTGTTTACGATATCTCTTAAGTGCTTTGAGCTTAAAGTGATTCTGTCGTCATTTACTCACCCTCATGTCATTCAAACATGTTTTAATGAAACCTGAGAGGTTTCTGTTCCTCCATTGAAAGTTCAGGTTAGCAAATTTTAGAAGATCCAAAACACTCAAAAAGGCATCATATAATGAATCAAGTGTTTTAATTCAAGTCTTTTGAAGAGACACTATTGATTTATATAATCAGATTTATTGTAGGCTTTTATTCACATCAAAACACATACACAGAGCAAATCGCATATAGTAAACAAAGCTCATCGGTTCATGCTCATCACACAAGCATGTTTAAATAAAGTTAGTTTTGTTTTCTTTGTGCACAAAATGTATTCTTGTAGCTTCATAAAATTACGGTTGAACCACTGATGTCACATGGACTATTTTAACGATGTCCTTACTATCTTTCTGGGCCTTGAATGTTAGTTGCGTTGCAGTCTATGCAAGGTCAGAAAGTTCTCGGATTTCATCAAAAATATCTTAATTTGCGTTCCGAAGATGAACGAAGGTCTTACGGGTTTGGAACGACATGAGGGTGAGTAATTAATGACAGAATTTAGATTTTTGGGTGAACTGACCCTTTTTTACCCATAACCTTTCATTGATGTACACACAGTCATACTTGACAAAAGCAGTTGTGCCGGAATACAATGGAATACAAGTGGAATACAAGGGAATCATGGTTTCTGGTTCAGTTCCACTTTCTCTTGAACACAGCTCCAGTTAGTCACCTATTTGTTGTGAAACCAAAGTGCTGTGTGCTTTTCGATAGGTAACTCGGCACTCGTTACTACTGACACTGTCTTTATCTCCCCTCACCCTCCTGTTTCTCCCTCAGGTGCTGAGTAGTGTGTGTTATGTGCAACTGCTGAACAACCTCATTTCCATCCTCACGCTGTCTGTCGCTGACTTGGGTAGTCTTCAGCAAATTCACAACCCCCTCCAAAATCTTCCAAACAAGACCTTCAAATGAAAGAAAAGTGATTTGAAAGTGTTTTTTGATGTGTGTTTGCTTGTTTTGGTCCTCAGATGCGCAGGCCCAGGGTGCAATGCTCAACACCTGGGCGGATGTGTTGATGCTCCTGGCTACTTTGCTGCGCAGGAACCAAGCTGCGGTCGGCCCATCTGTCGGTGTGGCACTGGGGAAACACTGGCAGCGCTTTTCAGGTGACACACACATACACACACCAAAGTGTGTTACAAAGGGTGGAGACAAGCAAAGGGAAGGCAGAAAGAAACAGAAGAGTACAAAGAGAAAATGGTGGCAAACATGATGAAAGCGCAAGGGGATGGAGGGAAAAGAAAGATTGAGGAGTTTAGATGGAAGAGGATGTGCTAGATAGATGTTGAGAAGGAAGGAGACAGCTGAGGTGAAGACGGATGCAGTGGGAGGCCAGCTCATTATGCCTGTATGTGTGGATGGGTGTCCCTGCTGCATATGACAGACTGGGACAGAGACAGGGAGAACAATCAGCCTGCATTAGATCTGATGGATGTGGTAGAAAATCCTAAAACAGGTGGGTGGGCAGTAGACTCGCTGACTTGCCTGCAGGTATCCAGGCTTTGGAAGCTGTTTTTAAAAGCCTGTGAGTTTGGAGAGACTTTTTCGTCAGATGTTCCCTTGTGGTGAAGATTGTTTGTTGTGAAGTTTTGCATCTTTTGCATCTTCTCGTCTCAGAGTTTGAGAAAAGTAAATATTAGCATTCTTTATGTTTAGTCTTTGCTTTCTCTCGCGACAGACACTCTCCAAGTGTGTTTGGACCAATCGGGCGCTGAGTCTTCTCTCTACACATCGACCCTGCACTTTCTGTGTGTGCTGTTCACAGAGGAGGCTAAGAGGAGATCAGGAGGCCACACAGAGGATCGGGCAAGCTCCTCGCTAACTGCAGTCCTTTCTTCTGAGCCTGGGGAGGTAATTTGTGAACTATTACTAGAGGTAAGAGATTCAGTTTTGTGGACTCCTATCACACAAAAATTCTCAAAATGGCAATCTCAGTTCTGATTGGTTGGACACCTTGCACATCCCTCAATTGGCTACTTCCTTCTATGTATGGGTCAGTGACAAAAGTATGACTAAAAGTCAGATCTAAAAATCTAAAATCTTTTCTAAAATTATGCTTATTTTTTCATATCAGTCTACACTCCATACCCCATAATGCCAAGAAAAAAAAAATCAGATTTATGACGTTAAAAAAAAATTATATATACACACACATACTTTACATTAATAACATTAGGGCTGCCCTCGACTAAGGATTTTTCTGGCCGACTAGTAGTCGTTCATTTGAAGCATTAGTTCACACTAATCACATGTTTATTAATAAACCATTTAAATCATTATAATGAGCCTTTACTTGCCTAATAAGCGCTCAAGCACATTCATAAAGCTTGCCACAGCGCACCGGCAGAAGTAATGGTTATGAATGTGTCAGTGAAAAACAGTAAGGAGGCTGCATTAACATTTTAATGATTCACTGATAAACTAGTGCTTTCTTTGTTTCTGGTTTAAGAGATGAAGTCGGCGACACTGACTCGTCATCTCCGTAGTAGTGAACGCGCCTGTATGCATGTTTCATACGGATGACATAATCTGAGAATATTTGTTTTCCATTTGAGTTGGTTCATTTGAAAGTAGACATTTCACTCTCTATAGATCTATTTTTAATGTCTGTAAGGCAAAGATATACACGGAGTTTCGCGCTCAAGTTCACAGAACGGCAGAAAGCGCATCTGGTTTGCTTTCATTGTTTTACAAAAGTGCGTTTTGTTGTTATTGTGAGTGCACACAAATTAACGTAGAGTCCTTACAGATTCAAAAGATGTATTACTCTTATCTGTATGAGCAAAAATGATATATTTGCTCTGTATGAGCAAAAATGATATATTTGAATATATACAAAAAAAGCCATATTTGTGGTGGATGAATTATATGCGAGCGTTTGGATGTCCTGCCCGATGTACTGTATTACCACATAGACCCGCTGTTAACGATCTACGTGACTTCGCCTGTGGATTTTCTGTGGATTTTCTTTTTTCTGCAACTAAGCGGCTAATAAAATTTTGGTCGACCAATCCTCTTCTGGTCGACTAACGATTAGTCTACTATTAGGGGTCAGCCTTAAATAACATACTGTTTTTTTTATAGCGAATATGATTTTTTTTTCTTGAGGTTATAATGTTGAAAAAACTAACTAAACTAAACTAATTTGAGTGTGACATGAGTATCCTCTCTGTCATATAATTACCTGTTTTATGGTTTTCTTGTTTCATAATGACAATAATGGAGTATTGAACGGAGTTTTTTTTTTTTTTTTCATTTTACAGGCCTTGAACTGTAAAATACACACACTTGTATGTGTCAAAATGCCGGTATTTGCAAGGATCCTCGTAAACACAGTAATTTAGGTCTTAAGTGAAAGCAAACAGCTGAGAAAGAAAACACGTGTAACTGTATATTGGATCTGGGCAGCTCTTAAAGTGACAGCAGTCTAATAGTTCTGCTGTCTGTCATTCAGGTTATTCAAACAACAAAAGAGAGAAAATCTCTCACTTCTCTTGACTAAATCACTTTTGTAACTTTAAGAATAAATATACATTTTTAATTTATTATTTTTTATAAATTTATATTTTTATACATTTGGTTACTTTTATACAACAATGTGTGTAGCATTTCTTATTAATTTGTTCTACTGTTGTTTTTTGTCCTATTGCTTGTAATTGGTTTCTTATTCTTATTTAATCACTGACTGTTTAATTGTCTTTAGAGAGCTTTTTTTTAAATCCAGTATTAGTTTTTTGTGATTTTGACACTGGTCACAAGAATTGTGAAATTTCTATGGTATCAATAATTTTGATATCATAAAGACTTTATTTAAAGCAAAAACAACTCTATCGTGATATATATTGTTACCGTGACATAAAATTACTCATCCACCCCAACATACTGACTTTGATTTAATTTATTTAGTAGTATTTTAAAACTAAACTGCTTCACTATGCTTACATATGCATTCTTACATTTATTTATATTTTAAAAAATAATCATTAAATCATTACAAAAATTATTCAGTTTATTCAGAACACGATGCAAACATTTTGTGCTTCCTGTTCAATTTACAGCAATATGAGAAGATTCCATTCCAGGACCCCTTGAAAAAGATGACGGCCAAAGCGCTCATGTCTCTGTTAGCCTGTAGCTCCAGCGCTCAGAGTTATGCATGTAAAGGTAAAAATTACGTCAATGATCTTTAACATCGTAAACACACAATGAGGAGCTAACTTGTGACATACAATGTAGACATTTGCTAGCATTCACAACGCATGGCTCCCTCCCATTCCACCCAAACCATTTATGGAAATCAAACACTATTGGTTTTGATGTCACAACTATGAGCACATTTGCATATGAACGTATTGAATATTCAGCATCCTATAGGTATAGTAGCATAAACATCCTGTTTTGTTCTGAGAGTGAAACAGGTTGAAGAAACATCTTGTATATACAAATTACTTTTTGGTGCAAATAACTTGACTAACATTTGAGTAAACTTCAAGAAAAATCCTAGAAGTATAGAATATGTCCCTCTTAAAAGGTAGCAGTTAAAAAGCTGCTATTCCCTCAACTAGGAGGAAATCTCACATACAGATTAATTTCAGTCCCAGGTGATGCTATATTTGTGTCTAATGCCTGATGTCACTGTCTGATGGATGAGTACAGACAGATACATGTCTCTTCTCCTTCTTCAGCTGGTGAGATTGACAGCTGTGTGGAACGCATGAAGCACATTTACGCAGAGCTTCACCTGGAGTCTGTGAAAACGGGCAAGAGTGCTCACAGGAGGAAGGTACGAAGGGTTCCAGCAACATGACAGACAGCTTCAACATCAGAAACACTGAAAACCTGTTGAGAGGGAGGAGGGAGGTAGAGGCAGGTGAAGGGAGAGAGACAAATGTGACCAAAAAATGACAAAACTGAACGATCCTCTGGTTCAGTTGATTTAACCAGTTCAGTTCCTTATGTCTGTGCTGCTTTATAATAACTTTAATTAATAATACAACAATCATTATTACGTATATAATGCCAGATTATCAGTGAAATTGCTATAAATGTCAAAGATGGTCTTTTTAAAAATCTGAAACTCATGTTTTTTTTTGTAGTTACAATCTAATAGTACAGTTTAAAACATTTCTTTGTATCTTTAATGCATGCCAGTGTTTACATCATAATTATTTGCAAACAATTTATTTTATTTTAATTTTTCCATACCAAGGGAAAACCTAAAGTATTTTGAATGCGATTAATCGCATCCAAAATAAAAGTTTTTGTGTACATAATGTGTGCGTGTACTGTGTATATTTATTAAACTTTTGTTTTGGATGTGATTGATTGTGATTAATCGTTGCCCAGCACTATTAAAAACGTAAACATATTTTAAAAATAATTTACTTTATTACAATCAGGATTTTTTTTACATATTGATACAAAAAATACTTTTTTTTTT